AAAAGTTATGTTAGATTTATTTCACTGTCTTTCCTTTTCCTATTCCCCCTCCCTTCCCTTCATTCTCTCTATCTAATGTACTGAATTTTTGTTCTCTCCCCTCCTTATTGTGGATTAGCTTCCACACATCAGCATATCCTTTTTGGGACTGGCTTATTTCACTTAACATGATAGTCTCCAGATCTGTTCATTTACTGTCAAATGTCATAAAGTCATTCTTCTTAATGTCTGAGTAGTACTCCACTGTGTATATATACATCACATTTTCTTTATCCATTTATCTGTTGAAGGGCACCTAGGTTAGTTCCATAGCTTAGCTATTGTGAATTGAGCTGCTGTAAACATTGATGTGGTTGCATCACTGTTGTATCCCAGCCCTTTTTATTTTTTATTTTGAGACAGGGTCTTGCTAAGGTGCTTAGGGTAGGGCCTTGTTAAATGGCTGAATCTGGCCTCAAATTTGTGATCCTCCTGCTTCAGTCTCCGGAGTTGCTGGATTACAGGTTTGCACCACCATACTCAGCAATCACAAGATTTTTTAAAAATTCCGTATTTTTGTTTCTACTATTAGCTTGTACTTTTAAGCTTATTCTTTCAGTTGTTGCTGTATTATGACACAAATTTGTAACTGTTTTCCCCAAATTTAAATACTTTTAAGACATTGTATTTTCCACTTACAATACACTGTTTATAAAGTTTAATGTTATTTCCTTTCCCTGAGTACACACATATTCCATATTCAAGTATTGAGAATGCCCATTGATTTACTACAGCAGCAATTTGAAAACCGCCATAGCATTTGCTACAAATTTGGGCCCTTCCCTGTTTTACTGTGGAACAAAGTACAGCACTTGGCTGACTTAATCAACCTCTTCCACGGTGAGCCCAGGGGGAGCACCACCAGGGAATCCCCTGGCATTCCTCCTGCCTTGCCTCCTGTACTCTGTACAGCTTGCTAATGGTGGGGTCGCAGGCCTTCTCCAGTTCTTTCTGCTAATGTTCAAGTTCTCCCTTCTCTGCAGTCGGATTCTTATCCAGCCTGTTGATGATTTCATTACATTTGTCAAGAATCTTCTGTTTGTCCTCACCATTTATCTTGCCTTGAAGTCGCTCATCTCCAACAGTTGCTTTCATGTTGAATGCATAGGACTCCATGAATTCTTGGATGACACCTTGTCCCTGTGCTTTTCATCTTTAGCTTTGTACTTTGCAGCTTCCTGGACCATGTGCTCAATGTCCTCCTTGCTCAAGCAGCCTTTGTCATTAGTAATGGTAATCTCATTCTCTTTTTGTGTACCCTTGTCTACGGCAGAGACATTGGGGATGCCATTGGCATCAATGTCAAAAGTGACTTCAATCTGAGGATCATCCTGGGTGCAGGAGGTATGCCTGTGAGTTCAACTGCCAAGCAGGTTGTTATCCCTTGTCCGGGCGCACTCACCTTCATGACTGAATGAGCACACCAGCCTGGTGTTGAGGGTAGGTCATGAAGGTCCGTGTCTGCCTGGTAGGAAGGGGGGTATTATACTTGATGAAGACAGTCATAGCTCCACCAGCAGTTTCAATGGAAAGAGAGGAGTGATGTCCAGGTAAAATGGCTGCCTGGACAGCTGCACCATAAGCAAGAGCCTCATCAAGGTTGATGCCTTTATTCAGTTCTTTTCCACTGAAGACGTCTTGTGGAAACTTCTGAATCTTAGGGATATGAGTAGAACCACCCACCAGTACAGTATCATGGATGTGTGACTTGTCTAGTTCAGCATCTCAAAGACCTTTTTCTGTAGGATCAAGGGTTGCCACGGATCAGGTCAGCATTCAACTCTTCAAATTGAGCACGATTAATGGAGGTATAGAGACGATTCCTTCTTAGAATCCATCTCAGTACTGGCCTCAGTGCTGGAAGAGAGGCTATGCTTAACTCTTTCACTTGCTGTACGGTGACTTTGGACAGCTCTTTTGTTCTTACTGATGTCCTTCTTATGCTTGCCCTTGAACTCAGCAATAAAATGACTGACCATGTGGTTGTCAGAGTCTTCTCCACCTAAGTGTGTCTCCAGCTGTGAATTTGACCTCAAAGATTCCATCCTCAATCTGAGGATTGACACATGGAAAGTATCACCTTCTAAATAAAAAGAGCTCCAGTCTTTTTGTCTAAACCATGAGCAATAGCAGCGGCAGTTACCTCATTGATTACCCTAAGTACACTAGACTGGTGACGGTTCCAGCATCTTTGGTTGCCTGACACTGAGAGGCATCGAAGTGAGCTGGCACTGTGACCACAGCACTGGTAACAGTCTTCCCAAAGTAGGCCTCTGCAGTTTCCTTCAGCTTTGTCAGAACCACAGAAGACACCTACTCTGGATAGAAACTCTTTTTCTCTCCTTGTTGTTCTACTTGGACTTTGGGCCTGCCTACATCATTCACCACCATAAAGGGCCAGTGCTTCATATCAGAATGGACAACAGCATCATCAGATCTCCATCCTACCAGACGTTTGGCATCAAAAACCATATTGATGGGGTTCATTGCAACCTGATTCTTTGCAGCATCACTGACCAATCCTTCTGGGTCAGTGAAGGCGACACAGCTTGGGGTAGTTTGGCTCCCCTGACCATTGACAGTTATCTCCACTTTTCCATGCTGGAAGACAGCCACACAAAAATAGGTGGTGCCAAGATCAAAGTCGGCTGCAGGTTCCTTAGACGTGGTACCAAATGTGTAGGCCAGAATCTACTTGCAAAGAAACCACGCAAATCTTTCTTAAATTTTTAGGTATTTTATTGTAATATGACACATTGAAACTTGTGGACTTTTTTGTATTTTTTGTTTCATGAATCTATGGCTAGAGTCGGCTATGGATTTTGGAAAATCCTCGGAGTTCTAAACCTTTTTAATGTATCCATTATGTCTCTTTATTTTCTTATTTTCCCCTCTTAAAACTCAGACATTTTTTTACTGATCTCTCAGATCACTAATTCTTTTTTCTTCAGTAATTAATCTTATGTTAAGTCTATTTAATGTCTTCATTGGTTATTTTTCAGTTCTAGAATTTTTAATGAGTTCCAGTTCTCTGTTAAAATCCTCACTCTTGTCTTCTAGTTCCTTGACATATCAGTCAGTATTTATTAATATTTTAAGCCTGTATTTTATTATCTGGAATTTTTTGACCTCTTAGGTCAAGTTCTAATCTGTTTTGTTTTGGTTTTCTTTAGTATATTGGACATCTTTCTAATATAAACTATGAGAAAGCAATTCTGATTGAGTGGATCATTTGGTCCTGCCTCCTCTACATTATGAATAAACCTTATAGAGGCTAAAGATGATGTTCTCTCTCGTGGGAGGCTATATTGCATTTCTTTTGGCAAGCTGCAAGAAGGTGGTATCCATCACCTTGACCCAGTCTGGGATGAGGATGATTCTGGACTTTCAGTGCTGTAAAGACTGCTCCCTTCCAGTTTTGGCTTTGTACTGAGCCTACACCTGAAGAAGACTGCTGGAGGCAGAGTATTCTCCAGGGCTCCTCTTTCTTGGTGGACCCATCTCCAGGTTTTTGGTATCTTTTCAGCACTGCTGGGCTAGCGTGGCTTTGCTTAGCCTTTTTAGTTCTTCATAGCTGCTTCCTGCTTCCCTACTAGAATGCCTGGAGAGGAAAGTTGTGAAGGTGTTCAGCTCATTTCGTTGCTTATACCTTCTCTCCAGGATCTTAACTCTTTAATTCTTTCTTTTTTTGAATTTTTATTTTTTTTCTTAGTTGCTCTCTGATGCCTTTAAAAAGCTGGACTTTTGGTTTTCTGATGTGGTAATTTTTGGGGAGAAGGTTGGTCTGGTATTAGCTGCTGTTCCATCTTAGCAAAATTGAGTCTCTTAACCTTTCTTTTCTGTTTTCATCTGGTATGGAGCAGATGGAAAGTTTAATGAGACAGTGTGACTAAAGACTTTGGCACAGTATTCTGCATGTGCTTCATTCTTTTCATGTCAGTGAAAAGAATTTTAAAGCAAGGAATAATTTCCTACCTTGCTTGCCCTAATGCCCATAGACAGAGGCTTGTTTACCGAAAAATAGCCTAAAAGGTTAAGTTTATGTAGCAGAAGTGTAACTGCCTTCTCTTTTAGCATAAGAAATAAATCAGAGGTATTAAGACAAATATTTTTGCTGTTTTCTATTGATTTTAGTTTTTGCTGATGGAGGTATGTCTTAAAATATATTTTTAGAGGTTATTAATGAATCTTGATAGAAACATCGCAATATAAGTTGAAAATTTGAACTTATTTACACTAAGGTGCTATTTGTTTCTATCCCAGTGCTTCATAAAGAATTGACATGCTGCTATTCTAAACTATCTCAGTTTACTCATCCATAAAATGGCAGTAATTGTATTACCTATCTCAAAGGATTGTTAAAAGGATAAATATTGTATATTGTTCCTCTCTGGACACTGTACCTTAAACTGGGCAGTTTAAACAACAGAAGTTTATTTTCTCACAATTCTGGAGTCTGGAAAGTCCAGGATCAAGGTTCTGGACAGTTTTCTGGTGAGGGCTTTCTGCCTGGCTTGCAGATGGCTGCCTTCTTGCTGTTTGCTCACACGGTCTTTCAGTCTTTCCATCATTCTTGGGCGCAGATGTTAGGAATCTCTCTCTTCCTCTTCTAAGACAATCAGTCCTATTGGATTAAGGCTTCACCCTTATGACCTGATTTGCCCTTAAATTCTTCCTTAAAGGCTCATGTCCAGATAAAATCACACCAGGGGCTAGAGCTTTAATATGTGAATTTTGGGGGACCACAGTTCAGTCCTTGGCAAACTGATACAGATGCTCCGTGACTTAGGATGGGGCTAGGTCCCAGTAAACCCATCATATAGTAGAAAAGTTGTATAATTGAACCACTATAAGCCAGGGACCTTCTGTACATAACAGTACTTAAAATAGTTACCTGTCACATTGTAGTTAAATTGTGTGATTCTAAACATTTCCCCCCCCCTTTTTTTTTTCTTTTCTAGGTGCTGATTTTGGATTATGTTCTAGAACATCAAGAGTAGTGATTTCTACTTGTCAGGACTGCAAACTCAGAAGCTGCAGAGAATCCTATGTAAATAAACTGTGATCTCTTTTGCTGCCCTTTTACATTAGGAGACCCCTTTATTTCACCACATCCGAGGAGTATATATATAACTAGCACAGTCATTATGAATGTGACAAGTTTGTTTTCCTTCACAAGTCCAGCTGTGAAGAGACTTCTCGGGTGGAAACAGGGTGACGAAGAAGAAAAATGGGCAGAGAAGGCTGTTGATGCGCTGGTGAAAAAACTGAAGAAGAAGAAGGGTGCCATGGAGGAGCTGGAGAAGGCCCTGAGCTGTCCGGGGCAGCCCAGTAACTGTGTCACCATCCCCCGCTCTCTGGACGGCAGGCTGCAGGTCTCCCACCGGAAGGGACTGCCTCACGTCATTTACTGCCGCGTGTGGCGCTGGCCTGATCTTCAGAGCCACCATGAACTGAAGCCACTGGAATGCTGTGAGTTCCCTTTTGGCTCCAAGCAGAAGGAAGTCTGCATCAATCCCTACCACTATAAGCGAGTAGAAAGCCCCGGTGAGTGAGTCTCTCTGTGTTGATTGCTTTCTGCCAAGCAGCAGATTCATGCTCTCTGAAACCACAGAATTTCTGTCTTCGGTTTTAATTCCAAAGTATTTGGGGATTTTTTTTTTTTTTTTTGTGTGTGTGTGTGTGTGTGTGAGAGAGAGAGAGAGAGAGAGAGAGAGAGAGAGAGAGAAAGAGAACATGAGCCCATGTGTTAGTTAGCTCTCTCACACTGGAACGAAGACCTGAGATAATCGACTTGTGAGGAGAAAAGATCTATTTGAGCCACAGTTTTGGAGGTTTCAGTCCATGGTCACGTGGATCTGTTGCAAGGCAGCACGTCGTGGTATGGAGTGCATGGTAGAGCAAAGCTCATCTCAAAGAGTAAGAGGAGCTGGGGTTCCTCTCTGCCCTTCAAGGGCATGCCCCTGATGACTGGAAGACCTCCAGTAGGCCTGACCTCTTAAAGGTCCCACCATCTACCACAATGCCACTCTGGGGAACAAGCCTTTAACATGTGGTCTTTGGGAGTATAATCCAAATCCAAACCATAGCAGCCCATAAGTATTTCATACATTTTGACAGCTTAGACCTCTTAAATTAGCTTTATTTCTTAGAAACAGGCTATGAAAATTGTCATTGCAATACCAGTACCTCTAATTTTTAGTAAATGCATTTCTGAATTTGTTTTCTTGTTTCACTTTGGTTCTGTACATTTGTATGGGCAGATTTAGCTATGAAAAAATATATTGCAAGGGAAGAAAATCAGGAAAGAACATGCTATTGCTTTCCATACATCCACGAGCCATCACGAGGCCATTGTGACTTTTACTACTTTGTCTTTAAGAATAGCACTTATCATCATCTCCTAGTGGAGGATGTAAAAGAATTATGCTGTGAAATAATTTGATACAATTATAAGATACTCCTAGTTTTTACACATATGACCTTTTTGGAGGTAAAGAATGCACAACTGACTTTCCACGTCTGTGAATTCTGCATTCATATATAAAACCAGCTGGGGTTTGAAAATACTCAGAAAAATATGACATCTGTACTGAACACGTACAGATTATTTTCTTCCCATTATCTCTAAACAATAGAGTAGAACAACTATCTCAATATCATTTACATTGTTTTACTTATTATAGGTAATTCAAAGATGATTTAAAGTGTGGAGGAGGATCTATGTAAGTTATACTTAAATCCTGCACCATTTTACATAAGGAACTTGCGCATCCACAGATTATGGAGTCTAGGAGAGTCCTGGAATCAGTCTCCTATGGACACATGACTCTTTTTAAATTATAGTTTTGCCCTCAAGTTAGAATCCATATTCTGGACAGTTGGATCAATCAAAAGAGATTTGATATTGAAGCATTTAAGTATCTCATTATCAGATTGGGACCAGTTTTGTTGATGGAATGGCTATTAATAGCTAATGGTAATGAAGGGTTCCCAAAGGTGGATGTGCATTAGAATCGGTTTCCCCTCCCAGAAATCCTGACCCTGGGATAGCCTGGTAATCTGTTTAACAATTACTTTGGGTCTTGCTGACAAAGCCATTGGATTGGTATTTGGGAACTGCTGAGCCAAATCATGTGATAACATGGTTTTCAAATAAAAGGCGTTCAAAAAATATTTTTTTTAAAAAAAGACATATAAAACGTATTTAAAGACTAGGGAATAATTTATAAACTCCTTTGTATTCACTACCCAGTTTAATAACAGACTACACACAACTGAAACCCTTGTCTTTGTTTCTCTGACCACTGTTTTGAATTTGATGTTTATCATTCCTGTGCATATTTTTTACTGTTATTATATATGTATGAATCCATGACATTACATACTGTTGTCTTGTATACTTTAGAATATTATATAGAATGCTATATAATATTAGCATTTCCTTTTGCAACAAGTTGTTATATTCATTCAACAGTATGTTTGTGATTCTAGATAATACATTTTAGGATTACCTTGTCTAGTTCTATGAAGAACCCTCTGGGTATTTATTGAAATGTCATTGCTATCATCTGAGGAGGATTGACATAATTATGCTCTGGAACATAATATTTTTAAATTTTTCTTCACATCTTTTCATAGACGTGTTTCTAGATGACTGTTTTTATTATATCTTTAAAAGCTACATTGTTAAATTTGTTCTGTGCTAAGAAGGCAGCTGCTTTTTTTCAGACAACCTTGCCATATTCTATTAGTTCGAATTTAGACATTCTTTACTGCTTGTTATAACAGAGATGCTAGGATTTTTAAAAATTACAAAGATTAACATAGAGGCACACAGTCCTCTTTAGCCAGGAATTAAAATGGAGCTAAGAGTTTTGGAGAACGAAAAGCAGGATCTAAGTAAGATGTACAAACAAGATGTTTGGGTCACTGGTGACTTTTCAGGGTTACAGAGGGAAGATTTTAATATGCACAAACAGTGAAACTGAGACCCTCATAGATTAAGCAACCTGTGTGCCAGACATCTGGGAAGGAGAGGTGATGTGACATGAAAAGTATTCTGAAGCCCGGATCCACTACTAGAAAACACTGGGTGTGGCCCCCACGTGGGCCCCACCGGCGCCTCCCTCCTGCTGGTCACCCTTCAGCTCCCTGTGCTCTAGGGAAAGTGGTCTTTTGGAATGCAGGTAGGATCCATCCACTCACCTTCCGCTCCCAGTGCTGGCAGTCTTGCTGGAGCTCTGCACAGGGGTCCTGCCTCCCTTCCCAGCTTCCTTTCCTGCTTTTCTAGTTTGTACCCTGTGCTCTGTGGGGACACCTGGTGCTCTTTTCCTCTGCCTTTATGCCTTCCTCCTCCCTCTCTGCTCAGCTCACTCTGTCCTTGGTGTCTGAGCTTAATGAATGTCGGTTTCTTGGGGCAGCCTCCTAATTCCTTCTTCTCTGCCACCAGATAGATTATGCCTGTGTCACAGTAACCTGGGTTTCTCCTAGTGCTCTTCTCTGCCGTGGTCATCCTTGGGCTTCTCTACAAGACAGTGATTAAAGCCCTGTGAGGGCAGAGGTATTGGCTTCAGTGAATCTTTGCTGTAAAATGAAAACGCTGGTTCTAACTTATCAGTATGGTCATCTTTTCAGAGATGAGTTTTCAGTTTGTCTATATGGTTTTACCATCCACTGTCCTTCGTTGGTCATTTCATTGTTGACGTAAGATAAAAAGTAAAACCGATATTGAAATGATTTTGTTACTCTTAGTAATTTGCATGCTTTAATAAAAGGTTTGATAAGGAAGAGGTGGGAAACTGGCTAAATAGGTGTTTTGAGACTCCACAGATGTCATTTCAGCCTCTCTTTACCTAAAGTGTTGTGAGCCATGCACAGAACAGTTCTAGAAGAGTTTTGAGGCTGAGGCTAAGATCTATTCAATTTGTGAAAATACCAGGATTTTACTTATTTGTCATTGTGGAGTCCCCGGTGTGAAACTTGGAACAGATGGCTTTTTTCCAGAGACTGCTGTGGAGCAACCCCTATACCTGGTGGTTAGAAGCCAGGCTAGGTCCACCCCTTCCTCCCAGAGTTGAATAGGCATTTTCTCCCTGTAGAGCCACCTGAAGTACACCTAGGTATTGTTTTTGTGAAACAGGAAAAAGGGGTCTGGAATTCTAAACTGCAAATACTCAGCTCCACTCTGAAATTACTTGAATACCTCAGATGAAGCATTTTGAAGAGTAGTATAGCAGTTCAAGCATAAGATAGTTAACTTAGTCTCTCAAAGTTGTTTTCCAGAGAGTTCCTAGTAACTCTTGAGAAAATCCCAACAGAAATCTTGAGTATCTAGAAAGTTTAGAAATTTTCAAATTGTGGTCTGCTTACAGGTAGCATTAGCATCACCTTAGAATTTGTTAAAAATGCAAAAATTTTCAATTAGTAAATAATTGTTTGTAGGGTACACTGCCATGTTTCCACATAAGTATATTGTGGAATAATCAAGTCCTAATTAACATATCCATCACTTCCTATTATTCTCTCTCTTTTTTTTTTTTTTTTTTTTTGTGGTGAGACTTAAAATCCACTTCATTAGCAACTTTGAAATGTACATTATTAATTGAGGTCACTGTGCTGTGCGGGTGATCACAGAACTGTTCTTCCTGTCCAAGGGAAACTCTGTTCTGAACCTGGCCCCTCCTGCGCCTCTGATACCCTCTGCTACTTTCTCTCTCCATGAGTTCAACTTTTTTAGATTAGATCGTGCAGGACAGTTGTGCTGTGATTCTGATGTTTCCTGGCTAAGTGTCCAGGCAAGGCAACAGGCCCAACTGTCTGGGCAAGGTGGTCCAATACTGAAAAGAGATACTAGTGATTTGGCCATGCAGCATTTTGAATTTTGCATGTTCTGAGACAAATATAAAATTGACTTGTTTTTCTAGATTTTTCCTTGTGTTAGTGTTCATTAAGATTAGCATGCCGATGTTATAAGGTAACTTCAGGTGAGTAGGAAAGTGGGGGAGAGAGACTTGATTTCTTTATTTGGCTGACATGCAAGTTTTGTCATTGTTCTTTTGGGTATCTTTTGCCCTCAGTTTTTTTTTACCAAAAATAATCATGTTGATTTAAGCTCCTGTAGTTTTTCCTGAACCTATGCCATTTATTTTATTACAAATAAAATAGCATAAAAATAGTCATGGGGAAAAACTGAGTTATGGAAACATTTTGCAGAGGCTGGGATTCATTGCTGTTAATAACAGTGGCAGAGCATGAGAGGTGGTTGAAAGGTGCCACTTTGACCATCACTGACAAATGCATTTTGGGGAAGTAGAAAATGTTAGGCATTTTGTTTTCTGCATATGTGTGGATACTTAGAGGAAACAGAAAGTTCCAGGAGCAAATGAAGACTGACCCTGCTATGGTGTGGCAGGTGGCTTTGTGCTTGGACTTTTACTAGCCTTGGGGACCAAGGCTGCTTATTAGTGGTTGAATTAAGTGGAGGTTTTTCTTTTTCTTTACCAAAGTAAATGCCAGTGGTGGTTAGGTCAGTCATCTGACTGTGG